TGCTGCACTTTATCACATACTATGGCACATCTGTTCATAAAGATACTCTACATTCTGCTATGGCTGTAGTCTCAAGGTAGTTGAAATACACAATTGCAGATGTTTATGGGCAGCGGTCGCTTTCCATTTCGGTGAATTCAGGTGACCGCATGCTTGTTTCCCGTCTTATATTATATATAAAAAAAATCTTATCCATATTTAACCAAAATTTAAAGAGATCATTTAAGCCTTTTAGGTGAGAAGGATTCAGACATTTTAACAGTATGCATTCTTGCAAATTTGTGCATTTAAAATGTTAGTGGTATTAATGTTCTCCCTGAAGAGATGGCATAGAATCAGTGATATGAGTGAATAGTGTAATGGCGGTGCAGGGTGTGCGGTAAGATGGAGCCGGGCGACGAGCGCGTGGGCGACGCGGTGTCGTCGCTGTCGGCGCTGCTGCGGCACGGCGACGCGCGCGTGGCGGACGCGGCGCTGCGCTGCTTCGCCTCGCTGGCGGACCGCTTTGCGCGCGCGCACGCAGATCCCGCACCTCTCGCTGAACATGGTTATTTGTTTACCACTTGATAATTTTATTGACATTTGAGAAATAGATCAGGATAAAATAATTAAATTTTAAATGTCTCGATAGCATCAAATTTGATGTTACATTAATGGTAGCTATTTTTAAAATAAAACTAGCTTTCGCCCGCGACTCCGTCCGCGTGTAATTAAAAAAAAAAGTAAGTAGCCTATGTGTTCTTCCAGACTATACTCTACAACTGTGGCTAATTTCATCGAGATCTGTGTGTAGGCTACAAATTCTAACAAACATCCATCCATCCATCCATTTAAACTTTCGAATTTATAATATTGGTTTGATATTTTTGTAAATTATGTAACAAGTTTAGATAACTTAATGTTAAAACAGGTCTGATTGAGGAACTGGTGCGAAGGCTCGGTAGCACAGAGACCAGTGACGACAAATGCTTGGTGCCATCCGTGTCCACCACTGTTAGCCTGCTGTCGACGTTGTGTCGTGGCTCCGCACAGATAACTCACGTAAGTTACATGTTAATATTTCCTTATGTTTTATTGGTATTTACGAATAGTATGAGAGGAATATTCCAAAGAGTATAGCATGTAACATTTGTGTATTTGTGTGTGGCAGGACCTGGTGCGCTTGGACCTGTGCTCGGCGATAGAGGCGGCGGTGCAGGCGGACGAGCGCTGGTGCTTGGAGTGCATGCGTCTCGTCGATCTGCTGCTCGTTCTCCTCTGTGAGGGCAGACACGCTATA